AATGCCCCCCGCCCCCGGTTTCTCTCGGGGTCGGGCCCATCACGGTGCGCGACGGACCGCTCCAAGAGCGACCCATCGGTATGCACCTCTGAATCGGTCACTTGGCCCGTATCGCACACGTCCCAGTGACATCTGCTCAGGGTCCAACCGCCCTGACCGGTCCCTTCCGCTAGAAAAAAGGCGATGTGTGATTTCTTCACCCATGCGTCGCCTATCCGATTCCGGCTCCTGATAGCAGCATATTTTCATCGCACGGAACAAGCCTGCGACGTGAATTTGAGCCTGCTGTTCCGTAAAACTGCACTTGACAGCAGTACAAGAATGACAAATAATTCGCATAATGTTCTGTCTACTGTCCTGTGGCAGCGACAGCTATTTGTGCTGCAGCGTAAATACTCCAGCAATCCATAGAGCTTCCACCGACCTGGCCATTACTCAACACTGATGCCCTGCTACTCCCCGGCTTCGTTGCATACATTGCAGTATATGGGGAATGGGGTATTGTGGTATGATATTTTCGGTATAGGGAATGGGGTAATGGGGTATGACATATTCCGTGTAGGGAATGGGGGATGAACCGGAGGGTATGCGGCCCGGGGCGCAGCAGGGCCGATTGCGGAGACTTGCGAGGGCTCACTGTGCAGCACGTGTAGGTGACAGGGCCAGCCCAGACAGAAGTGCAGACAACTGACGGCGGCAGACAGCAGACAACAGACGCCGGAGAACAGACAGACGGCAGCAACCCTCATGCCAGACACGAAAACGCGACCCGCCGAAGTGTGCTTGAACGGACATGAGTTCACGACTGACGCAGAACTGCGAGGATTCGGTCCGTTAGCCGTGCGGCATCAGCGCTGACGTTGTACAAACGGTGCACAACATAAAGGACACTGTGTGTGTGACACATACGGACCCGGTGGAGGATGCACGCCGACCAGGGCTCTCCGCACGGCTGGGCGCTAGACGAACTGAGACGGAGCAGGGAGTCTGCTTGGTGAAAATCTGCTAGCTTGAGGTGGACGTGGGGGCCGCAGGTTTAATGAAATCGCAATGGGGTGCCCTTATCTGTCTGCATGCGGTCGGGGGCACTGCGATAGTTGATCTGAAGTGAACTGCTTGGATAACGGGGTTGCACTGTTGCTGCTGTTGCACGGGGTTGCACTACAGTTGGTACTGCTGCTGTAGTGCAGTAGCAGTGTGGGAATCAAGACCTGGCGAAAACCACTGCATTGATAGTTCACATGCGCCAAGCGAGAACTGTTCCCTGGAGTGTAACTCATACCAGTGACGTGTGTCCCAGATAAGAGACCACGTCGCATGGAGTTCATTCCCTTCTCTAGGATAAATATGAAGAAAAACGGAAATCAGTGTCGGCCGACCGATAGCGAGTCGTACACAAAATGGGCCATGTGTAGCAGGCAGTTCAAAATAAAGATCTGGTGCGCCAAGAGCGGCCCGGCGTGGTGCGTGCCCGGCCGACCAGCGCCAGGTCAGGCCGTGCTCGTGATGGGAAACAGAGATGTCGGAGAGGCACAACACGGACGACTCACAGAGCTGCCAGCGGGACAAACCAGGCCGGAGACGCTAAAGAGTGTCGAACCCGGACGGTATGTACGCCCCCCCCCCCCCCCCCAATGTTTTATGTCTGCTGTAACGACTCTCCTTCGAGACGGACCGGTCGATCTGCAATGCAATGAAGGGTACCGAATGCCCGAAGAACTATCATCATTCACGTCCACGTGGGCAGCGTTCGTATCCGAGGACATGTCTCCGTTCACGCTCTGGCATAAGAAGAGTTTTTTGTCGTAAATATCAGCCTTCTTGCCAGACACGTGCCCTGCCCGAGCATTTGCCAGGATCGATGATGCGTATTGAAGCACTATTATTACGTGTTTGAGACCAGAGCCCCCACATGAAGCCCTTTTGATTCCGATCCTTAGCGATATGCTTCGTGTCACCAACCGGAAGGATGCTCTAACACGTGGACGATAACTGCACATGCTTCCAACATCTCTCTGTCCGACCAGACCTGAAACCAAACAAGCGCTTGTTGCAGAGCAGCTTGCGCTCCCGGCAGGCACACGCGGCAAGCTTTCACTCAGCGTCCGCCAGCGCGTGCCACATCGACGCACGTGGTAACGAAACCCAGCGATAACAGGCGATAACGAAATTAACAATTCTCGGCCACTCGCCGTGCTTACGGTGAGCGCCGCATCGGCCCCACTGCTCGCACATCTGTATGACATATCATTACTCTCGTAATTGGACAGCAACCAATCCGTCATAAATCAATTAACAACTGTTCAAAGAGGCTTATCTGGGAGATACGAGTCTCGGGAGGAGACGTCTGCCTTAAATTATAAACACGCGGTCTTCGTTCAGCAGTACAGAGCTCGGAGAGAGAGAGAGCTCGGAGAGAGCTCGGAGAGAGAGAGAGAGAGAGGAGAGAGGAGAGACGAGAGAGAGAATGAGGAGAGATGAGAGAGAGAGAGAGAGAGAGAGCGAGGAGAGAGAGAGAGAGAGAGAGAGAGAGAGAGAGAGAGAGAGAGAGAGAGAGAGGAGGTGGCCCGAGAAAACAAATATCGAAAATTATATTATGTACGCGCACATGCCATGCTCGTTGTTAGCTCGAATAAGATAGCAGCATGCACTACATCCTATATGCAAGCTCCGATAATGTTGATCTAACCCACCGCAAGACCTGCTTTCTCCCCGGAATTCGGTTGCTTAACTTTGCATCCTCGATGAAACATGAAAACCAGCTTCTTTTGATGTTTCGTAGATTCAAAATCGTTTTTCTCCGGAGTAATATGTTTCCATTTCAAATAAATGTGAGCTGCGTTTTTGTAAAAAGCTTAGAATAGTACGTAATTCACTGAAAACAAACATCTCAGGGAATCTCAACAAGGAATCGCTGATGACTACTCCTGTCGCCAATCATGTTGAATAACCGCCACAGCCACGATTATGTGACAAAAACACTGCACACTGTACATATGCACTTGCCGCCGTTGGGGAAAACATGCGTTATTTTTTAATTGGGCCACCCTGTTCTTTTAAAAGCTGCCACGCATTGCAGTCAATAATTGTTGAACCCAATCCAGGCGTTATCATTTGAAGATCTTGTCCAACATCGAACATTTGCAGACTGCCTTAACATACGAAGGAGCATTAAACACTAGGTACTGAGCGGATACTTTTTGCTACAAAATTAACGTGACAATAAAGCTATCTTTAGGTGCCTACTTTCTAGTATACCAATAGTTCAGATACATGGCCTGCATTTATTTTGCCCAGTATTCCTTCTTTGTTCATATGCATTGAGGGCGGACTCAGAGAAATATTGGGGCTCAAGCCAGCGTTAGGGGGCTCAGTCCCCGGAGAGTATACGAAGTAACGCCCCTGAAACAGGCACGTAAATGCAGTAGAAACGATGCCAGTCTTTGCACCGAGGGACGTGGGCCCCTTCCTAGAAAATATATTCTGCTTGCACCCCTTGCTGATTGTGACAACCCTTCAATACAACTCTTTATTTCGGGTGTCCATATATTTACTGGACACTAACAACGATCATTGCAGGGCAGACGAAGATAGCACGATCACTTAATCGGTGCATCATATTGAACGAAGGGACGTTGCGAAGTAGTACCGCCTAGCCGCAGTTCCCGGCCAAGTTCTACGAGACCTCCAAACGGATTCTCTTGCGGATGGCTAGCCCTGAGCGGCATGTCATGCGACTGAGGTCACAGGGGTCATCAAGGTCCGACCACGACATGTTATAAGCCGTCTAGATTTGGTTCTCAAATATGAAATATGACCTGCGTTGCTGTTGGCATGAAGCGCAGGAGAGAAACGCGTATGAATTGTTGAAACAAACGTTTGACCTATTTCATTTTCTGACGTTTTACACAATCACATACAACTAATGGGTGAGTAGCAAAACTGGAAATCGCTGCAGAGGTTCTGAAAACGGGAAGTTCCCAAAGATTACGGACGGATTGGCAACTCTTCACCAGCATGTCAAAACGTTCATGGCAAAACAAGGAGTGAATTCGGGTGGTAAAAAATCGGATCGCGACAGAAAAATAAAAGCCGTCTTTTAATTTAGGAATAACGCGATTTAACAAACGCGAGACCACACTATGGCGCACAAAGAAGTCGTTCCACAAAACCAGTTGGGGGAAGAGGGGGGGGGGGAGGGGGGCTGAACAGTGCAGAATGAGAAAATCTGCTCCACAATAGTGCCAACAACGGGTTTGCTCCACATTTGACCCACTTTTTCTCAAAATAAGAGGGAAACTTCACCCCCCATTGGAGAGGAAAATATATCCCTAATGATAAACCAGTTCTACAAAATATTTGTGGCTATCCCACGCAATGGACGGTTTGGTCGCAGTTCATCCGAATCCGCTCTCAACGCACTCTCGTCAAACTGCTGACGTGATCAACTACACCGAGGCAGACCAGCTGCAGGGACGAGTCACAACGCAAGTGCCTTCGCTTCAGCCTGCGGACCGAAACCATACAGCCGACGGTGTGGCGCGTGTCTACTTCACATCCATGACGAGAGTCGCAGTCTTCGAAGGACCTCATCCCTGCGGTCTGTAATCTCCGCTGGCGCTCGGGAAATGGAGGGGAGGGGGGGGGGGGAGGGCGGAGGTAGCTTCTTTGGCGGTGGGAACGTCGTCGTAACTCAAACGCTGCCGTCACCATTGGCTCAGCGTGTCTTACAGAGGCCCAAGGAGAATTTGTCATGTCAAGCCAAGTCACGGCTCCATGGATTTCTGCGCAGTATGTATTTGTGTTGCGCAGTCTACCGTAAATGGGTACCTGAGGGGCGTCGTCTAAGCAGTTTTTGACGCATTAGGAGGTTAGTGCAGGAAGACGCCCGCAAATCTGAGTCAAAATTCGGGAGGAGATGATAAGACTGCGACAAACATTTGGTAACAACCTTTCCAAGCGGCGAAAGTCTACTGCCGAGGCGACGTCTATGAGCTCTACCAATGAGCCTGTGACATGACCATCTGAAACGCATAAACCACCCATTCTAAGAATAAAAAAACTGCAAGCGCTTTTCAAATGAACTGCCAGGAGGAGCTAGGCCCGTGTGTAACGGATCAATCTGAGGATCTGTATGTGAACTGTGGTCTTCTAAATGCTGCGCACATGCTTGTGCGCCTAGCAGACCCCGCCAATTATTGTATGGCTGCGTTGTAACACGCAGTCAGACTCAGCCAGCCATGTCAGCTGTGTCAGCTGCGCCAACTGTGTCACAATCGGGTGCGTACGGTCAGAATGGGGTCAGTGACAAGTCGTCTAAACAGTGCGTCTAGTGATCTTCGTAGCAAGAACACTGAATGGCAAACGCGACAGAATCAGGCCCGTTGTAAATCCAGTAAATCCTGCACTGCTATTCACGAAATTTAAGTCGCTAAAAATCAATGCAGTTCAACATACACGTTTTAGAAACCTTATCATGTCCATCCCCTACCACAAACGCGCGAGGTAGACACAGGTGAGAAACATTCACAAATGACACCGTTAAACAAACGTGATACCATTTTTTGCACTGTGCGGCCTCGGGTTACATGGACGGGGAACTAAACAGAGTGAAATGATGTGAGATGATTGGCGCATGTCCTAGCCAACTACCGGTCTGAGGAGTCCGACTGGCACCTCTCTCCCTTGGCTCTCCGATCACAACCGCACGGTTGACGCATGGAACGAGTCCATGGGAAAGGGGTGAGGTACATGTGCTTGGCACGCGGGCAGAAGTAAAAGTGCGCATTGCAGCTACCAGTTGAGGCATAGAAATGACACGGTTTTTCAGCGAACCTGCAGGAGCATTAAAATGACACTTTTGAACAGACTTCGGATACGGTACTATGAATAGCTGTCATTTTACGCCAAACCTTGCGTACATTGCGTACATTGAGTGCGTACATTGCGTGTACAATGATTGCGTACATTGAGTGCAATACACGGAGACCACCGTGGTCAGTTTCCAAAATTGACGCTCACACAACTCACGTTCCCCGCGGAGTCGGCATGGTCGCTCTGGAGACTGAGTATGTTGTCAAGCAGTTCATCCACCTGAAACAGAGAACAAAAACATCGTCAATCTTACGTAGGAACGAATGTTCAAGCTTGGCTGCTCACAAATGCATCTGCCACATATCTGTTTTCTACACAACAAGGCGCTCAGGCTGGAATAAGAGGTCCAGAGTGGGCGGCTGCTACCGCGCGGACAGACCTGTTACCACACCCGCGCCCATTCTAAGCGCGTCGCAGAGCAGAAACCCCACTCGACATTCTGCTGGCAGCTGGGCGCGCAGCGTCCCTTGTCGCCGGGATTTTCAGCTGTGTGGAACTGTCGGCCAGTTGCGAAACATCGCGACTCCGTGGCGCTGTCCGACCGCATCCACACGCAACAGGACGAAACCGCGGCGAAAATGGACCGGCGGACTCAGACGGTCAGTCACAGATGTCAGTCACGGGGCCTCCAGGTGTGAAGAGCTGTGCCTCGAGGTGTGAAGAGCTGACGGGTGGGACGTGCCGGAGACGTTTTGCCGGCTACCATCCGAGTGGCGGCAGCATGCGTCTGCTGAGGTCGGCGCTGTGATGCACGTACATCGTTGACATCGGCATCAATTGAATCAACATCGACTCCCTGTGTGTTGGAGGTTGATCGGCCGACTCGGCGCTGACGGGGTAGGCGCGTGTCGCGGTCTGCAGCGCAGAGACAGCGGCACGCACAAACAGCGTGATCGCCAGAGCAGCGAGAGCCACCAGTCGCCCGCCCCACGAAGGCAGGCTCGCACTCTTCCAGCTAAGCCCCACTTGACCATCGTCCACCAGTCACCCACGCATCCACCGCTCGACGGCTGCGTGACCATTCGCGGTCAAGGCTCCCAAAATTCCGAATGCGCGTGGATTTCCGCCGCTGCTCCCGGTGCGGGCGACCGCGACGATAATGACCGGGGCACACTCGGTGCGCACAGCTGGAGGAGCCGAGCGCCGCCAACGCCAAACGTCCGAGCTGCGCGACGAGCCCAGCCCGCGCTTCGCCGGCGCCTCCGCAGTCCCGTGTCACAGCAGCGCTGCTGCTCGGCAGGCCGGGCAGGCTGATCGATATCGTTGGCGAGCACCAATTAAACTGAGCATGTGCTGCCGAAAAACCTGCCAGCTGGCCATTATCTCGCAGGCCTAGGTCACGGTCGCACGCGGCGAGCTGGGGACATGCCAGCCAACAGGTCTACCATATCGCCCGGCTGGGGTCGACTATCAATGCGAGTCGTCTCACGGGCTTGCTCCCCGAGAACAGCTTGACACGCCAATTCCCGACAGCTGGCGCGTGCGTGCGTGCGTGCATGCGTGCGTGTGCGTGTGCGTGCATGTGTGTGTGTGTGCGGTGTGCGTGAGTGCGTGTGTGTGTGTGTGTGTGTGTGTGTGTGTGCGTGCGTGAGTGTGTATATGTGCGTATGTGTTTGTGTGTGTGTGCTACACATGTGCATGTACCCTAAGTATTTAGACAACGCGCAGTTGCACTATACCCGAGGGGGTGTACCGACTCCAGCTGATGACGGGCCGCTGAGGAGTCCAGAACAAAAGGGACCATGATGCGCCCGGTCATACTACCGCGACCTGGCGACCTGGTCATACCGACACTCAGGCGCCCGCGACCGGCGGCTCGGCGGCGCCATACGCCAGAGTAACCGGCCCGCCCGGGCTGCGATTCCGCCTCAGGTGCTTCACAATGAAGATACAGGAGCTGGGAGGCAATAAAGGTCACGGACCCGTCACCAGAGAATGGCGTAGTTTTTGCCAGTTGGCCTCACTTATATGCGACGTGGTGCCCTGAATGGGTGCCGGAACTACGCGACCCGACTAGACAATACGGACGACATGTGCTAAGGTGCTGCCACGTCCTCCAGTCGCCGCAGGCCAGCCTTCGACGATGCAAATCAAGCAGCAGTAGTCCTAGTGCGTACCTGAGACTCGCTACAGCTCACTGCAAAGAGCTTAGCCACGTAGTGAAGTCGGGTCTCACGGCCATCGCAAGGGTAACGCAGCTGCTTTTTCCATCGGGTCATGATAAGGCCTGTGCAGTGAACTCAATGTGCCAAGTAGGTGGTGCAGTCTGTCACAACATATTTGGTTCAAAATGCGCTGTAAATTAGCCGACTGCTTGAAAGTTGGACGCGTCCATAATTACATAACGCCACTGAACAGCTCAGCCCTTCTCTCGCTCTTTCTCATCTCCATGGTCGGCGCCCGCCAGCCCGTCCCGCCTTTCCCCGCCGGCCGCCCGTACCGCAGTCTCCCAATGATGTGGCGGCCACAGCCCCGCCGCTATCAATGAGCGCGTGCTGGCAAAAACCGCCGACAAAGACGGGGACGGTGAGGAAACCACGCTGCCGCCGCTTCCCTCGATGAGTCAGCTTGCGGCCAGGGCCCGCCGGGCATGCGAGTGTGCTCCTCGATAGAGCCAGGCGGCGTTCAGCGCCAAAACATCGGCAGCGGACAAGCCGGGGTCGTGTGAATGACTGCTGAAGACTCCCGACACTCCGTTACCGCCGCGCAGACGTCCGATGACAATGCGTCGACAGGCTGAGGTAGGTCAAGACCATGGGTACAAACAGTTCGAATTCAGAGTCATCTCGCTGTCTGAAGGGTACATAACGGTTAGGGCCACGTGGATTTTAGACGTGACCCAGGTGGTCTCTCTGCATAGCTTCTACTCTCTCTCTCTCTCTCTCTCTCTCTCTCTCTCTCTCTCTCTCTCTCTCTCTCTCTCTCTCTCTCTCTCTCTCTCTCTCTCTCTCTCTCTCTCTCTCTCTCGCTCTCTCTCTCTCTCTCTCCCGCCGAGCGTCACCCACCAGTCCCGCGGCGGCGCCAGAGACCATCGCTTCCGGTCGGGCACGCCGCCCAGACGCCGACAGTCCAGTGATCTGACACTCAGCCGACCCTCCCCCGGTCGTATACATCCCCTCATCCTGTCGGTGCCCTGGCGGCCGAGTCTGGCTCCGGAGAGCCGTCCCGGCCGCTCGGCTCCAGCCGCCAGCGCCAGGTCACGCTGACGAGAGCCCTGTCGGCACCGCCTGACCGGACGCTGTCGGCTGCGTGGCCGGGGTCGGCCAGTGCTGTCGCGGCGCCTGGCCTGGTGGCGCCGGCCACATGGCGACTGAGCCCGCCCCGCGCGGCGGGGGACGAGTCAGGGGACGGGGGGGGGGGGGGGGGGGCGCTCCACCCTTTGGCGGCGACGAGGCAAACATCGTCCGGTGGTGGCGCACCTTCCTCTGTCGGGACCCGAGCCACGGACGCCGGAGGACGGGGCTGGAGTGGGCTGGGCACGCGCCGGACCGAGCTGGACCGGACCGGGCGACGCCAGGGGGCGCCGCGGCCGCCAGCCGGACCGACACCTGGCAGGGCCGTGGTAAACAAGGGGAGCCGGTCCCTTCGCAGCTTGGTCAGATGAGGGACGTGCCGGGTCGACCTGACCGTGGGCCCAATCCAAGGCCAGAACGCGCCTGTTGGGTAAGGTTTGGGGTCGCACCATTCGCAGCTGTGGTGGGCGATCAGCAGTTCGAAGCCCAAAGTGTACCGTGGGCCCTCAGGTACGTCCAGTGGGTATCAAGTGTTGCTCAACGGATGTGATCACTTCCCGGATTGATAGCTCTCGGGTTACATTAATACCCGACGAGCAAACAGATGGATGCATGTACTTCTATATCGGTTTTCCATTGCGGAAACAGCTATTCTGCATTCCTGACTTGCAGGTGCTGTGACGCAAGCGATCGGCATATTCCTCAAGTCCGTCGCCCTCGCTAACTGCCCCCCCCCCCCCCCCCCAACTTTCGCTGTCCGAGGGTCACGTAACCGTCCTCTGGCGCCTCCGGTCCCGTTACCCACAGCGAGTCGAACCCGACCGCTCTCTCGGGCGGCGATATGCCATCGCTGCCAATGCATACGACAATTTGTGGCCGGCCCGGCGCGTACTGACCACGGCCGCCACCGCCGCGGTCCGTTACCAGGCGGACGGCCGGCGGACCGGGAGGGCCCGTGAGGACCGCGGGCACCGGGACACGATCGGCAGATTGTGTCATCGGCCTGCAGCTTCGGTGAACGATGCGATCGACGAGACAGCGGCGGCGGCCGCCGCCTGGCCTCCAACTTATGCACCGCGGCGGTAACGGTGCGCCGCGAACGCCGGCGTTGCAAATGCGCGCCGCTATCGTCACAATCGAGCTGATGATGCGGGAGACGAATGCCCGGCGCCGAGTTGCGGGCGTCCGGCAGATGACAAGCTTTGCTTTGCAGCGTAGACAAACGTTTAAGCGGGTTCGCATAAGTAAGGCCGCGCCCGGAAACTTATCCGTGAAAGACGCTCAGGGGGATTGTTTTCGGCACTGACGCAGCTACGATGAGAGGTCATCTAAAAAGGCTCTTTTTCAAATGTGTTAGCGACCTCTTATTTTTTGGGGGGGCGAAAATCTATGGTCTTTGCAGTACGTCAGACAAAGTAAAAGTTCGCAAGTAACTTCATATCTACTTCCGTCGGCAAAGACAATGATGTCTTTCTCATCGTCATCAGGCATAGCCCACAAGGCGATGACGCTACGGAATCGAGAATTTTAATAATATTTCTAGCCCGTGTATTTATTCGGGGTGCAGACAAATAGACGTCACAAGTGACTGATACTAACGTTCTGTGAAAACCCGGCGACGAAAAGTGCAACCTCGGAAGTGCAAGCGCAACACACGGAATTAAAGACGCCGTGAACGCCATAAGCGGCATAATCACCAAACCATGTCGCATCAAGCGGACGAATGACGCCCGAGAGCCCGCTTATTAACTCTCACCAGATTGCAACAGCACGTAGCCAGCAGGCCGCAGTAGGAGCACCAAACATGCTGCTATTCAGCGCGCTGGACCGAATGGTGAATGACGAGAAGACGGGTAAAAGACAAACCAAAGACCGAATGAAGTGGGTCGGCGTGTTGACCATTGTGTGATTGTGCGTAACATGCAGCAGCCGGCATGGAGAGCAGACAGGCCGCGCGCGGCTGATCGGCAGCTCAAGCTGCCTTAC